GGGTGGCGGCGAGTGGGTGCAGGGCAGCACCCAGCACCCTGCCGGGGTCCTTGCTCAGGATGGATTCGAGCTGGGCTGGGATTGTCACTGCCTGCCCTCGGCGCAGGGAGAACCACGTTGCCCCAGCCCTGCGGCAGCTGGGGTGGCTGTGCCACGTGGAAACGATGGCAAGGAGGAATTGCTGTTCATGGATGAGAGGAGGAAAGATCACTTCTGAGGAGGTGGATCCTGCAAAGTCCTCTGGTGAAGGGACCTTGGGGACTGTGGTGGTGGCTGTAGGTTCCCCTCAGCTATAGGAACAGGTTCCCGTAGCTCTTCGGCAGCACCCGCTGAAGCTGGGGACATGCAGAGACGGGGCACGTGGCCATCTTCGCGTCAGTGCCTGGGCCTCGGGAGCAGTGGAGCATCTCAGCAGCTTTGCTCCGTAACCTTGTCAGAGGAGAGGGAGAAGTCTGCCTGTCCTTGCCTGCTCCGCTCCCGCGTCCCCACGCGCCGCCGTCACGCTGCGGCAGAGGGAGGAACCCGGCTCTGCTGTCCCTGGCTCAGCCAGGACCTTGCCGTGGCTCAGAGCCCGGTGTGGGAGACAGATCTGCTCCTGTCCTCCCACTGTCACACGGGAGGTGTCCCTGGCCATCGCTCTGCAGGTGACTTCTGCAAGTGTGGAGGGAACGCAGGTCCCTCTGCCAGCCCCATGGCAAGAGGGACAAGGGGACAGATGGGCTGGCATGGAGCCCTCCTGGCCCTCAGGTGCCTTATCGCCCTCGGGCAGGCGGTATGGCACGGCGGGTGTCCTTGGGGCTGGTTATCTGCAGGGTGGAGATGGGGAGAGAAGCCCTTGGTGCTGACGGGAGGGTCCATCCTCTGGTGTTTTGAGGGGGGGCAGAGCGGGTGCGAGATGGTGCTGCACTTCGTAGGGGGAACGTGACTGGGGAGACGTCTGCTGACGAGTGTCTGTCTGTCTGTCTGTCTGTCTTGCTGCTGGGTGTGAGAGGGAAGGACATCACCATGTGTAGGATACGGGGGGTGGGTCTGGGGCTCCATGTGTCTCACTTGGCTGGAGGAAGGGGCCCACCTCCCTCCCCAGCCCTGTGGGGTAGGACCTGTCCTAGCCGAGGGCTGGCTGCATCTGTCCGTCCATGTCTGAGCTGGCTGGGGCCGGGGGAGTCCTGGGGAAACAGGGCTTGCAGCCTTTCACCCACCGCTGCGCTCTCTTCCCAGGCACCACCTGCGTCCTCGTGTCCTTCCCCTTCATCTTCAACCCCTGCCTGGGTTGCAAGGAGAACACGCCACAGTGGGCAGCCTTCATCTACTATCTCCCCTTCATCGTCATCTTCCAATTCGGCTGGGCAGCCACGCAGATCTCCCACCTGTCCCTCATCCCCGAGCTGGTGACCAGTGACCATGAGAAGGTGGAGCTCACAGCTTTCAGGTGAGCACAGCCAGACCTGGGTGTCCCCTGAACCTGGGGGAGCAGCCCTGCCTGCACCAGGTCCCATCGCTTGTGTGACGAGAGGTCCCCTGGGTGCCACGGGTCTGATGTCCCCTGTGTGCCATACAGCAGGATCAGGACTGGGCTGTCAGGATGTGTCCAAGTGACACTGGTCTTCTGGGTTGGTGGCCCAAACCCTTTGATGCCAGGAGGGAGTGTCCTAATGTCAGTGATGGAGTCCATGGGACATTTCCCTGAGTTGGGGGCACTTTTCCTTCAGGACTGGAGCGTGATGCTCACAGGGGAGGAACAGAATCCCCCTGGATGCCCCCAGTGAGAGCTGGACACGGCCCTGCGCGGGCTGTCCCATACGTAGGGATGGCCCCAGGGCCAGGCTGGGCAGCGCATGAGCTCCATGCGCAGAGCCCGGCTCAGTGTCTCTTATCTGGCAGGATCGGGCTGTGGGCAGGAGCGTTTATCAGATGGAGCAGGGCTTGGTTATCGGCTCGGTGGGAGGAAGTTCCCCTTCCGGCAGGCGGGCAGAGACGGCAAGTGCAGCCAGGCAGGGAGTGAAGCAGTGCTGGGGTAATCCTGCGGCCAAGGGATCTGGCTCTGGGGGCACTGGGTCAGGCAACTCCGGGCATCCTTGGGAAAGAGGTGAGCTGTGACTGGAGAGTGGACAGGCTGACCTGGAAGGATCTTGGTTTCCTCCCAGTCATGCCCCAAGGCTTGGACTGGACGTGCTGGGAGGTGCACCGGTAAGGCTAACGCCTGGCCAGATGCTGCGTGCTCTTGGAGGCGTCGTCTCAGCAGCGACACTGGGGTGCAAAGCTGTCTGTCGCGTGTCTGCTTTGGAGGGCAGCCATGGGTCGAGGTCACCCCTCTGTGCCCGGAGCTGCGTTCGTCCCTCTCCATCACCCAGAGGTGCTGTCTCCCCTCAGGTATGCCTTTACCGTCATGGCCAACATCACTGTGTACGCCCTGGCCTGGCTCCTGTTGAACTTCCAGGTGGAGCAGCTTGACCGCGCAGAGCACCTTGGCATCCAGGATGTCCCTGTGTTTAGGGTAAGTGGCAGGGCTCAGTCCCTGGGGTCCCCTCTTCCCTGGGTGGGACATGGCTCAACTGGGGAGGTACCAGAGGGAGTGAAACAGCAGTGCCCTGAAATCTCACCTCCCGCACTGGGAAGGGGCCACACTGAGCTCTCCCTGGGTTTTTGGGAACCCGTCTTTATCCACCAGACTGTTGGGGATGGATGACGGGCAGGCAAAGGGCACCCTGTGCTATGCTCACCCCCTCTGCCTCACCCAGAACCTGTCCCTCATTGTGGTGGGGCTGGGGGCCGTGTTCTCCCTCCTCTTCCACCTGGGCACCAAAGAGAAGCCATACCCGCCGGGCTCACTGCCCCAGCTGGAGGAGAGCGTGAGCCTGCTGCAGAAGGAGCCTACGAGATCCCCGCGCCCGCTGCTGATCTGGAAAGACTGGCTGCTGGAGCCTGCCTTCTACCAGGCGAAGTTTTCCCTCGCCTGTCTGGGGTGGCTGCCCTGCCTGGGTGCTGTGGGCATCCTCTGGCAGTGGGCCATGCCCCTGGTGCAGGTTAGGATGGAGAGATGGGCTGTAATGGGCACCCACCTACCACGTCAGGGGGGCTGTCCCCTTCTCAGTGGGCATCTGTGCCATGACAGGGTCAGGCATGGAAAGTGCCAGCCATCCCTACCTCCAGTTGGCACAGGCTGAGCGATGCTGCCCTGTCTCTGTCCCCTCGCAGGTTGCGGTGCTCTACATGTCCACTCGGCTCATCGTCAACCTGTCCCAGACCTACATCACCATGTACCTGACCAACTCGCTGCTGCTGCCCAAGGTGGGCACAGGGCAGGTCCCTGCCTGTGTGTTGAGGTTGCGTGGGTGGGGGTCCTGTGCCGATGGTCCAGAGCTCATCTCCCTGTCTTGGTCTCTTGTAGAAATACATCGCCACCATCCCCCTGGTGATGTACATCAGCGGTTTTCTCTCCTCCTTCCTCATGAAGCCTGTGAATAAGTGGATAGGTCGAAATGTGAGTCCTGGGGGCCTGGTGAGGTTTGAGTTAGACCCAAGGAGAGGCCCAGGGACCAGATTCTGACCGCACAAGTGAGCAGAGCGCTCAGCACACCTGAGCCTGGCTGGAGAGCCCGGACCCCTCGCGCATCCTCTGCAGGCGGCCCTCTGCTGCAGCACGGGTCGTGCTGGGACGGTGCGGGCAGTGGGCATGGTGAGAGGGCATGGACCTGTCCTGCACATCTCTGAGGGTGGGGAAAGCCATGCTGGTCCAGAGTCAGCCTGTCCTGTGCAGCCTTGACTGGGCTGGGAGAGCTCCATGATGCTCATGAGAGGCAGAGGGAGGGTTTTGCTGAGCCCCCCTGGGCAAGCATGGGGGTCTACAGTGCCAGCATCCCCCTCCGTGCAGTAGCAAGCACCGTTCCCCAGTAAGCCCCCACCTCTCCCACCAGCTGGGTGTCCCCGTGCCCCGAGCCCTGGGGGCTCGGCTCAGCCTGCAGCCAACGCTCTGGAACAGCCTGGACCACTGCGAGTGGACACTGGGCGTCAGCCGAGCCAGGAGCTGAGCTCTCCCTTCTCCCTCTGCCTGTCCCAGTTGACCTACTTCGTGGGCATCCTGGTGATCCTGGCCTTTGCCTCCTGGGTGACACTGGCCACACAGATGGGAGCGGAGATCTACGGGGCGGCCGCGCTGCTTGGGGCTGGTTCCGCCACCATCCTGGTCACCTCACTCTCCATGACAGCCGACCTCATCGGCACCAACACGGTAGGTCGGCTCCTCCCGGACAGGATGGGCCAGGATGTCACAGCGGAGCTTGGAGCCGGCGGGCTGGCGTGGGA